TTGCCATTGTCTTATAGTCAGGCTTAACCATTTTGTTGGATAAGCTTGAGACAAATTCAGAAAAAACTACTTTCGTATCGGACCCGCTTGTGGTGTGTATCATCGTTTTACTGAAAAAAACACGAGAGAACCTCTCAAGTAAGTGAAGTCATGAAAATTGATGTTTTTTTTTCCTCAGCCCCCCCACATATCGGTCCAAAAAAAAAAAAAAAAAAAAACAGACGCCTTCCTGCTGTGTGTATCAAATTTACAAGACATATCAAATTTCACTTTACAGTTACTTTTACAAATTATTCCATTACCTAATATGACTATTGAAAACGTATTTCAAAGGTAGAGAGCACAGCATGCAACTATAAGGTTATGTACCAGTGTCACATACTGGAGCAATTATTTTTTGATTAAACAGACATCATTCTGTAAATTCTGCTGTGTCTATGCACCCTTGTTATGAAATGTGGAGAGACTATTTTGCCTCATTCATTTTCCGGCCTAAGTTTTTCACACCATCACCAAAATTTGGAGTGAAAAAAAATGCACTGGAACTGGAATGGAATGCACTTTGCTCTGATGTCAGACTACTGATGGTGTATTTGCATGGTGTGCAACAACTGATATGATATGACAAGTTACGATGTATTATTTGAACCAGTACTGTTGATTTCTAGTGTCAATTAATTTATTTTTACCAATTCACCTCGGGGGGGGCATGGTGGTTGGGTCGTTTGCGCATCGACCTCACAGTGCAGAGTTGCAGGGTTCAATTCCAGTCCCGGCCTTCCCGTGCGGAGTTTGCATGTTCTCCGCGTGCTTGAGTGGATTTTTTTTCCAGGTACCTGTACTCTAGTTTCCTTCCACATTCCAAAAACATGCATGGCAGGTTAATGGAACACTCTAAATTGTCCCTACGTGTGAGTGTGAGCGCGAGCGCGAGCGCGGATGGTTGTTCGTCTGTGTGTGCCCTGCAATTGGCTGGCAACCAGTTCAGGCTGTTACCCCGCCTACTGCCCGAAGACAGCTGGGATAGGCTCCAGTACGCCCATGACCCTTGTGAGGACAAGCCGATTCAAAAATGGATGAATGGATGGATGGATGGTTTTCACCTTGGTAAGAGCATATCTCATCGTGCACTTCCATTGTTTTGGAAGTAACAATTAATTATGATGTGGGATATCTCGTTTTCAAAATGAGACAAAATCTTTTTCTTTGAGCAGTGCAGGGCTTTGAAAATCAAAACATGCCAAATTCAACAGGGTTGAAGTAGAAAATTGCCGAAGTATGCATAAAAGAGTGGAAAGCATGGCCTGCCTGAGTCATTTTTTTTTCACTTTCTTCCAGGGAATCGCGCTGCCAGTGGAAGAAGACCAAGGTAAAGAAAGGGTGCCAGGAAAAAAGGGGTGTGTTTGCCAATGTACATATATTGTGGTGCTATTTTGGGATTACCGCGGTCATCCAGGGGAGCACCGCCCAGACCTGCCCTCTGTCTCTATGGGGATGGGTGCTTTCTAACTTTGATGGATGGAAAAAGATTGGAGGAGTGGCAGGTGGTACACAGGAGTATGGCACAGCTCCCACAGCGAGGAGCGTTTCACACAATGACCCACCACTAACGACTCTCCCCGGAAAACACACACAGGCCTCTGCTTGCAGCTGGATGATAAGCAGCTTGTTGCATTTGATAGCTTGACATAACAGGGAAGTCACGGGCCAAAAGTTTTGACAGGGATTGAAATTTTGTGTCTCCCTGACTTTGCTCCTTTGGCATTTTTCACAGATTTTGTATTCTGAAAACCAATAACCACATTTTGAAAATTACTTTTAAATATGTTTATTTATTTATTTATTTTTTGGGTAATAATTAAAACTTGTGCAGCAAGTCAATGCCTTCCAGTGATGACCCATTGTCAGAATGTGCAATTAGGCATACCAAAGCTAGGTTGAGAAAAAAAAAAAAACTTATTTACCCGTTACTGTACTATAACAACATATAAACAATTCAACTAATACAGATGATAACTGAAGCATTAAAATGAGTCAAACACAAATTTTAGTCACTGCCACTGTTGGTGTATGTTGTATTAACATTGAAACAAAGACATTTTTCAAGATGAATTGTGATTTGCTCATGTTGGATTAAAGGAGTCACTCCATTCTTCCATCCATCCATCTTGTAGCACACAGTCTTTATTCTTTCTATCCTGCCGAAAGTGGCTCATTTGAAAGGATGGTCCTGTCTCATGCAAGTCAGTCGTGTCTCATATGCTCCTTGTCCAATGGTATGTATGGCAAGTATGGATTTGGTGTTTTTCCATGCCGTTGCCTCTGATTGATCAGTCCTTCAGCAAGTGCCTGGACTAAGGCTGTTCCCACTAGTTATATATATATATATATATATATATATTGCGGACCAGCAATTAAAAAAAGTCACATTTCCACCACTGAAGGAGATAAAGCAACAGTTCTGATTTTATTTTATCTTAACTCAACTCAACTCAACTCAGCTGTATTTATAGAGCACTTTCAAACAGCCATCGCTGCATACAAAGTGCTGTACATGGACAACTAACATAAGGTATATACAGCAATAAATCAGTAACAAAGATAGTAGAAGGCACCAAACAGTAAAACTAAGATCAAATCTGAGTCATGCTGAGTTAAATGCCATAGAATACAAATGAGTTTTGAGGTGGGTTGGGCAGCGAGGGGGCTTGCTGAATGTTCAGTGGGAGGTCATTCCAGAGAGAGGGACCAGCAACGGAAAAGGCTTGATCCCCTCTGAGCCTCTGTTTAGTTCTTGGGACTTCTAAAAATGTCTGGTCCGCAGACCTGAGGTGCCGGGCAGGTGTGTAGGGGCGGATGCGCTCAGAGAGGTTAGGTGGCGCAAGGTCATTTAAAGATTTGAAAACAAATAATAGGATCTTGAAAAGAACTCTAAAATGTATAGGGAGCCAGTGAAGGGATGCCAGAGTAGGAGTTATGTGCTCCCTCTTATGAGTACTACGAGTAACGCTAAATATGACAGTGTATATCATAGTGTACTGCTGGACAGGTTATAATAGTGGGTGGAACTTTCAAAAGCAGTATGCTATTCGCTCATGCCTTACATATTAAGTCTTCAGTCAGTCGCACTCTTGACAATTTCGTCACAGACGATCGATGTGGTGTATTTGATAAAGGCCCAGATAAGATTTGGCGCTTTGCGGACGTGTGTGCAGGATGTCATTGTATTTCATTCATAAATACGTGAGTGTGGGACAATCATCTCTCTGAGTAATTGTAGATATCTATTCATTTTAGGAATTATATTTGTTTCCGTAAATATTTTATTAGCACCACCAACTCCAAATCTTGGGGGTACGGGGGTTGCGGTTAGGTGGGTCACACACGGCCGTCCGATCAGTTGTGTGAGGCAGTCTCCAATTGGCCACGATAGGCGCGGAGCCGATTAAAGGTACATCATCCGCAAGAGGAGAACTTCATCCGGCCTCTTGCGGTTCCTTTAACTGTAACTGCACTTTGTGCGCGCGCGTATCGATTTCCTGCATGCACTCCAGCGAGTTCTTTCCTTATGCATGTAGATCGCGTGTGGACGCAAACCTCTCTCGGCAGAATTCAAAGGCATTCATGAGGGAAGCCGCTCCGACTGGCCCAGAGTTGCCTCCGACAACGGGCCCACAGAAGAGCAAAAATGCCCGATTTTATCTTCACATGGGCTGCCAAGATTGTTCAATGAAGCATGACAATGTCGATGATCAGTCGTTGACAATTTAATAGTTGGCAAGTCATGTCTTATTATGTATTTATTTTTTGATTTATTTTGGCTCATTGTTTCTTTCTTGAAACTGCTTCATCTCCCATCTCTCCCGCTGGCAGTATTCCCACCACAGGCCAAGGAGGAAACGCTGACGCAGGGCATCTTGGCCTCGCTGTAGAACGAGCCCACTGTGATGGGGCGCTCGCTTGCGACAACCTCTGTGCTGGAGGAGCGGGTCCCCCGAACGCCGGCGCTACTACTGAATTGGTTCTTCTTTTGGTCACCTGGAGAATGGTCGCCTGTTCTTTTGCCACCGCCTGTCGCAGCACTCTGGTGTACAGAACAACTTTGTACCATTGTCAAATCATGATGTTTCCTCACATTAATAACAACTTTTCAAACCTGCCAAAATGATGTTGTTTGCATTTGTGGCAGGGCAGCGTGGGATGCGTGACACCAACGTTAATCGTGTTTTGTACGTTTTTGTACCGTATTTATGACTTTTTAGATCCTATTTTGATCTGAGCCATGACTGTTGGCGCAAGAGTGCAGTACCTGTGCTAATTTGGTCAAGTATAGTTGTTCGTGGTGTCAGTGCAATACAATTAAAATATGAAGTCTCTAGGCAGCCCGCTGGTCCAGTGGTTGGCGCGTAGACCTCAGAGTGCCCAGGTCGTGGGTTCGATCCAAGCTCCGGCCTTCCTGTGTGGAGTTTACATGTTCTCTCCGTGCCTGCGTGGGTTTTCTCCGGGTACTCCGGTTTCCTCCCACATTCCAAAAACATGCATGGGAGTCTGATTGAACACTCAAAATTGTCTCGAGGTGTGAGTGTGAGCATGGATGGATTGTTCGTCTCTGTGTGCCCATCATCCGGTTCAGGGTGTCCCCCGCCACCTGCCCGAAGACGGCTCGGATAGGCTCCAGCATGCCCCGCGACCCTTGTGAGGATGGATTTCATGCTAACAGCATGAAATAAACATTTGTATTTCTTGATTGATTTTTAATTATATTTATATTTGTTATTTATTTCCACATTTTCTATTGTGTTATGCATTGTTTAATAATCATGTATTTTACCCTTTTTTAATATTTCTTCACTATGACATATTTTTAGGACATTGTCTGCTCTATATTTTCCTTTTGTATTTTAATTATTTTGACTGTATCTGGAAATATAAAGTGTTTAAAAATAAGGCATACAACATTTAATGGTTCTAATATTTTATTTAAACAAAACATGAAACAACCAAGAATATTTTAATATCATCATAATAATAAAAAAAAGAAACAAAACATTCATTTATGCAACTTTTAGAGTAAACACCAATACACAACAGATGTGTTACTTATTAACAAGTGAAAAAGGTAATTGGGGACTTGAGTTATGCATGGTCACTACACCATTTATTAATTCACACTTAAAATGCACTTAAAACACACTTCATTGTTCATAAATATATCATATTAATGAGACATATGATTCACCTTGTGCCTACACAGAAAAGCAATAGTCAATGATTTTGAATCCCGGAAGGACATTAAGGCACACAATAGAAACCTTGCTGATATAGTTTAGTCATGCTTTAATATCGTGGTTCCAAAAATGTATGCAAGAGCTACAATGCAATCCATTATCAACTAAATGAGAAATATTAAGCTAATGTGCATGCTCCATAAGACAGGTAACATCGAAAAGAAAGGCTGATATGAGAGCAGGAAAGAGCACATTTGGTCTGGGAGCACTACCACCTGCCTCTCTTTCTATGGTAAAGTGCACAATATTTTTGTATTGGGTGGTATCACTGCACGTTTAAGTCTGAAAAAATGAAACCTGGACAATAATATCACCAAAGATAAAATCCTTTGGTTTACACAAATCAATTATTGCCGGTTAGAAGTAACAGTCTCGTCAGGTCCTCATTTAAATGTCCAAAATGAGTAAAACTGAGGCGGTAGCATACTTAAATTATCCTTCTGCTCATTTACACATCAAATCTGCAGTGCAAGAAGTTAACGACTAAATCGCTTAGGAGTATTGTATTTTAGTTTAAATTCAGCAGGTAATCATACCATTGTTCTCATGTGATATTTTTTTTCTGCACCGTACGATGACAAGAAAGACTTTCTATCCTATGCGGAATGTAACTTTGTATGGACATGCCGAGAAGAAACCTCAGTTGGGTTGTGTGATGTTGAATGATTGTCTGTGCATTACAATGACATGGTCCGGACATGGCAAAACAGGCACTCGGGTGACGGCGGTCATGAAGCGTAGTACAAAAAGCAGAAATAAAAACAAACAAACCCCTTTCCTCATCCACCCCGCCCCCTCCCAAAAAAAACCCCAACATATCTTGGGGAAGACAATGCGAAAGGCTTGAATGCGTAGAATAAGCGTAAGGCATATTGTCAAATTTGTGTTTATACAAAAAAATGTGATACATAACATTCAGTATAAATGAGCAATGAGAATAAAAGATCAAAGAAAACAAATCTATTTGTTCACATACTCCCTGACGTCATTCCCAACCTTGGTCCATTTTCCCCATAAACAAATCATGAAAATGATACAAAAGTGTCATATAAAAACGTTGCACTTGGGGTTATAATTTACCATCATTTGCATTTCTGTGTCTGCTGCTGTCTGTCATTTTCTCTACAAGTAAGGCACCAATTTATTTTCTGCGGTCTGACAGCGCGAAACGAAACAAAATGTAGACACAAGACAGTTGTTATCACCGCATTAGTTTGTCCATGCACGAACTTGACACCAATACCAAACACTCCAAATGAAGATTGTCATTTGTCAATTAAGGCAAGTGTTGCCATTGATATCGCTTTCCGTTTGTACAAATAACATAACAGATATACTTACATATTTAGATTAGATATTCAAACGTTGTGAATCTGGAACAAGTCTGAAGAAGGAACTGATAGCAACACAGGACAGGTGGGAGATCCTGCTTCGTGGTGGCTCTTCTTCATCTTATTGGTCTTCTCCTCAGTATTGTTTTTAGTTGAAAGTTGTGTGTGCCTGTGTGTGTTTGCTGCTGCTGCTGCTGCACAACCATTGATCAATGATCTAAGCATGAGTGTGAACGGAAATGCTGGAAAGGTCATTCCTGATGATCTCGTTAACTGTGGAAACAAACACAACAAAAAAATACCAGGTCATTTTTTTTCTAAAATCACACCCTAGCACATGAGTTAATATGATACAGCATAATGTGTTATGGCTGTGTAATGTTCTGTCTTGATTGTGTTTGAGCTCCAGCTGGAGTGACGGACGTTTCCCTCCAGCAGGCGCATCTGTGCCACATTTCCAATCAAGCCTTGCCATGTATTTAAGGACTGTCTGATTATTGACCTTGCTCGCTGTTGTGCTTCAAGTGTTGTATTCTAGACCTCTCGATATTATTCATAGTCGCTCTCGTTTTGTTCATCGATCCTTGTTTTGTCAGTATTTTTGTTTTTCAGTTATTGCTCTTGATCACTGTTCTCGTGCTATTGGACGTTTGATATGTCGTTTGTTTATTGTCACAGTGTTGAACCTTGCCTTGCCAAGCAATTTTTCTTCCATGCATTGTTTTTCCTGGCTCCTTGTGACAAAAAAAATCAGTTTGTACTTTGTTTATTTTCTTTAAGAAATATTTTTGTTATCGCACATTGTCTCAGCCTGCATTTTTGGAATCTGAAAACATTATTCGTTTCGGTCTGAACGTGACAGGCTAGAGGTTGAGAAGTCACATAACGACTGTATTATAAATCACTTCCTACGTTACACGCCATCCCTCCATGTACTCCGACTCAATCAAAGAACAAAGTGTGTCTCATTTAGAATGATGACATTTTTACTTTTTGTTGGCCCAAACACATCCTTGTCACCGGATTATCGGATTTGATGAGCAAGGAGGTCAGGTCAATTTAACAATGATGTTATGGCTTTGTATCAGGCAACTTTTTGTCTCCAGCTGACTCCTGGCACCTTAAGGGATCATATTTGCATGTTAGCTGGAAATTCCTATTATATGTCATCAAGTTTTGAGGATTTGTAATATGAGAGAGAGAAAGTCACAATTTCATCGGAATAAATTAGCACTAATTGATTGACCCAAGTGATTAGTAGTATGTCAAGCAAACTGTTGACTGCCCGATGCAGTCAACAGTTTGGAGCACTCCCCAAACCTTTTCACTGAAATATTTCCAAGAACAAGATGACATCTCATTAAAAGAGACCAAGTTACACAACCTGTGTCAACAAGCTTGCTGTACATACATGATGCCTAACATCACTTTGGGCAAAAAAAAAAACGACATCAAATAGTGGAATTCGGAAATACCGTTAACCTGGAATCCAAACAATCTATTGTCCTTGAAAAGTCATATCGGCCCCGTGCACACATCTCTTCACACAAGTCATCCTTGTGTCTTTCCTGTGCCTGCGCCTTTCCCACAGTCGGGCAGGCGCAGATCAGCCTGCTGCTTTTATCTACTTTGTATTCTTTGGCAAAACAGAGGGAAGTGAGCGAGAAGATGGCGAGGACCTCGAGTCCTGCAACTCAACGCAAACAAGAAGCTCCCCACTTATAAAGCTGATTGCGATAAAGCTGACTGATGTAGACGGCGACAGACGGGGGTCTAACAGTGAGGAGTCAAGACAGGAAGTGCACCCACCTTATGGCAACGTGTTTTTACAAGATACGCTGGCACGCTGATTTAGTCAAGGGCGTCATCGGAAGAAGACATGCGACGAAAGGTGAGGTGAGAAACTCGCTTGACAAGTCACAATCTAGTTTGATCAATAAATGAGGTGAATTTGATCATACAGTTTTGAGAGATATTATAAGTGGGTTTAATATATGTTATTATAATGTTGTTTGTTACGGTGAATTTGCATGAGAAGTGCTTCTAATATCTTGTCTTCGTCAGAAATCGCAAAGGAAGATTGCACGCTTTGAAGCAGGCCACACACACACGTGCGCGCATGCACACACACGCACGTTGTATGGGACTCACCTCCTGAAACAGGAGGAACTCCCATTGGAAAAACACAACCTGTGCCAACATTGCAGGCTGTTTTGAACTCTGTTTGGCTCAACAGGCATTTACGTGCATGCTTAGGGTTATTTTTAGCTCTGCCACCGCAGGGCTTGAAGGAAGTGTGCACACATTTAACAATGAAACCATCTAACTTTTATATCACTTCTCAACTCTAGAGCCAAGGTGAGCAAATTGCTCCAGGTAGTCCTGAAGAGCGAGGGGAAAACCCAAAAGCCTGGTCGTTGAGAAAAAAAAAAGATCTTTTATATTGCTTTTAAAAAACAAAACAAAACAAAAAAAAAACCCAAACAACAATCACATCCTTTCTTTATTCAAACAATTCTGAAACTGCAATCATGCAGCTTCCATTTACCGCTATTAGCAACTCATACTTTCCACTGGCAGACCTGATCATGTTCCATTCTGAGAAAAAAGGTGCTAAAGTGACACAAAACGTGCAAGTTTCTCATTTTGTTTTTGTTTTACGTACACAGCGTCAAGAGTGAAGACCACAGAAGCAGGATGTGGTCAGATGTCACCCCAAACCAAAGACACTATCTTTAACACTTTCATCTGCCAGACTGCCATAAAATAAGAAGAGAGGTGGCCACCACATACATGCAAAGATCTTGCAAAGTCTCTAAAAATATTGTGATTTTTTTTTTTTTTTTTGCATCAGTAAAACAAAATAAGATCAAGTCAGGTATGTGTCATGACAGCATTTCATTTTGCAATCAATCCCACCTTCTCTGAAGTGACTAGATCAATCTCAGATATGCAGCATGAAGGAATGCAGTCAGACATGCTTGGGAACATTTTGTTCAACGTGGAGTCTGGCTGCAATGCATCATTCTATTGCACAAAGAGCACGGACAGGTGGAGAGCGTTAAAATCCCGGCTATTTTGCCCATGAACACATGATATGTTTTAGCAAATTCATCGTGTCATCTCAGCGGACAGCTGGACAAACATATTTGATTTGGTTGTTTTTTCTTACTTCGTTCAGGAGCTCAGTCTAATCACGGAAAGCTGTAACTGAGAGGATACACGCTCATGAATAAACAAAAACAGTGGAAAAATGAACTGCATTATTCCCCTGGCGAAAAGAGAAAAACATGTCGCGGTAGACTGACTCAAACATTAGTGACATTGTTCATTAGGAGCAGAGCCTTTGCGATCAGTGGACCATAAGAGCAACCTGCCATGACCTACAACATATTAACGCTGCTTGGGCAGCTGAGAGATTTGTTGAATAAAATACGAGCCACGAAAATATGAATGCACCTTCCAGAAATGTGAAGTCTATTGAATGACTGACTGGGTAATTGAACCTGACGCACATTCAAATACATAAATGTCTCATAGCTTCAAAGTAGTAATATGACCACCATTTAGACAAAGGCATGCTGAACACCAATAGCTCTCCCTAAAAGAAAAAAAATACACAAAGCTGCGTAGGTGGAACCTTGTTCAGGTTCTAATAAGATAATATAATCTAGAAGGGTCAATAAGTTAGAACATCTATCAGACAACACCACTTGACAACTGTTCATGCTCATTACAACACTTCATTTTTTTTGGCCTCTGCCCAGAGAAACACAACAAACAGTAAAATGTGAATAAGGTGTCCAGACAGATGCAATCACTGACAATTCATCCACTTTGTCATTGTTTTCATTGCACACAGATGCATTAGCTGTGATTCTAATAAATGTCATACGCTTATTGACTAAGTTGCTACTTGAGTATCCATATATCGGTCTGTCCTTTATCAGCCGTGATTCGAACGCAGAATCTCTCAACTGTGAGCTGGGCTGCTCCACTACCATTTGGCCTAAAATCAAATGTAAGGGAGATATTCGTTGGCCGTTGCTTCTGTCAGAATGATGACAACGTGATCCTTTTACTTTTGCCCAAAGCTAACGGCAGATGGACCCAAGGCAGAGATCTGGAAAAATTGGAATAGTCAATTTCAAATTCAAACTATGACCGATTTAATACATTAGAGCAAACGTAACCCAACCTTGAGCATTATGCCAAAACGGATTCAGCTTGAAGCTGACCTGTTCCAGCGCCTTTGTCCAGACTGTTAGCGAGGAGTGTTGTGCACTCGAGTTCAATAATGTCGGGGCTTCTTCAGAAACCTAGTGGCTTCCCTGTGGTCTAGACGCCCCAGAGCCACTCTTAGTGTTCAGCAGGTGAAACCTGATCTCCAGCTAAATCAGTTGCGATGGCAATGAGCTGGCGGAGAGTGAAAAAAAGTAACCCAACCTTGAGCATTATGCCAAAACGGGTTCAGCTTGAAGCTGACCTGTCCCAGCGCCTTTGTCCAGACTGTTAGCGAGCAGTGTTGTGCACTCGAGTTCAATAATGTCGGGGCTTCTTCAGAAACCTAGTGGCTTTCCCTTGGGGTAGGAGCCCCCGCGGCACCCTTTG